GTATAAACATATTTCTGAATACTGAAAAGTATATGTCTGAATATGCTAAATGTATTTAGTGTAATAAGGGCATGGACCATGCCTTTTGACCATGGACATGACTCAAACTAATTTGCTGTGCTTTCAATTTTAACTGGAGCGAGTATCAGCGGCCTCCTCCGCGAAGGATACTAGGGTCCCCAGCGAACCTCCACGTGGCCCTCGTCCCCAGGCTGCCAACAGTTGTCGGAGACGGCGGGGAATGCGGGCTCGGAGTTTCGGGAGGATGACGGGAGGGATCCTTTGATCCACACACCAGCGAGCAAAACAAGAGAATTCTCGAACGCAGTCGTCGCCGAGTATCCGTGCCTGGCCTATAGGATTGGAGTCACAGGAAAATATTTTGAGGCAGGCCATACCCGTATTACACTACATACATTTAGCGTATTCAGAGATGTACTTCTACGAAAATAAAACAGTCTTAGAAGTAAAATTCTAAGAATGTTTTATTTTCGTTTAAAATTGGTGAAAATTTTTTAGATATATGTATTAATTTGTTTGTATGGAAGAATGCAAACTACGCACTCGCGCTGGTGCATGCCCTTTGATGCTGTGCCTCAAACCTTACTGGCCTGGCTTCCTGAGGCCATTCTACGACGTGCTTCGAGAGATTCGCTGCGTCCGGGAGTCGGATGAGAATGAGTACTTTTCGAATGTCACGACCAATGCTCACAATATTCGGCTGCCCCCTTCTTAATTCGACCTGATCCGTACAGTTCAATTGACTGTTTCATATTTTCCACCTCCGAGGCGCATTTGGCGACTTCTCGTCGAGCTTTTGTTCCATAAGATTCTGTAACGATATAACGTGTAAACAAGAATACTTTTTTTGGAAGGGCGAGATCGAGATGGTCATCACCAGCTTGGAGGCAGACGCTGGATTCAATCACGGAGCGAAGCATTTGGAGAAATAACGATGGCTGCCTAGCTCGTAGGCAGCAGCTGCGGCGGTGCGGCGTTAGCTTCACGTCGTACATGGTCTTCCAAAGCAGTTCCCGTTTCAGGCATAGCATCCTGCTCGAATTCCACCGTTCGCCTTACCCATGGCTCTCCTGCATTATGCATGCCTTCATCACATGAATCTGTACAGCTGAACATCTCTCGCTCTGGAGGTTCCGTGCAGGCGAATTCGTCACAGAATGGCGCTTCCAACACCGTGAGCAGTATCTCAATCGCAGAAACTGACCTGAAAGAGGCCGTGGAGGTGCCAGTACAGAAGGCAGCGGAGGAAGAAGAGAATCCAGCCGAGGAGCTCACGGAGGCCTCTTCGTGTCCGCTCCCCGATTTCTCCACGAGCGGGACGCATGTTGCTCTGCTGAATCCTCTCGGATTGCTCCCAGAGTCCATACGTCATGCGAACGAATTTCTCAGGCCTTGTGACTCTATTCAGTGTACAAATAACTCTAATTGCCCGGCAATGAAAAACATTCTAGGAACGAGTCATAGTCCAGCAGCTGAATTCACTTCATACAATTGTATTCAAAGTTGTGCTAACTCATATACAACTCTAGTTGGCCGGGCGCAATCTGCACGAGTCGGAGGACCTGTTTTCATATACACTATGAAGAAGATTGCCACGGTTTAGAATGGTACATGAATTGTATTTTCCATACGTCTGCGGACCATCGTCACAGTTTTGAATTGCCCCATGAGCCGTATTTTCCAGACCATGTTCGGTATCAGTTCGCTACCTGGACTATCCTTGTAGTAGAGTAGCCAAAAAGTCAATAACACCCAGTCACAAAAACGATGGATTTGTTCCTCCGTCTAAATCATTTCCGACGCCTTTGTCTCATTATGGTGATTTCGATTCGAAAAAGGAAGGCGGAATGGACATTGGGAAGACAGCTATTTTACTTGGGCAGGCCATCTACTAGAAAAAGTTAGTTTAGAAAATTTGAAGACAACATGGATTCAGGACACATTTCTTCCCTGCTCCAATTCGGCTGCAGTTGCAATTCCCAGCCAGAAGTTCACAACATAATCTTCGCCTGAACAATACCTCCTTTAACCTGGAGTGGCTTCCTAGATCTTCTACCGGGAAGGGTTTAAGGATAGCGCAATGCTGCAGTAAGTGGTGGTCGATGACCTCCTGCAACATACTGAAGTGGGCAGTGCTGAAGAAGAGATTTACTCCAAGTGCTATAGTGGAAACTAAAAACGTCTCTCGAATAATTTCACACATTTTCTTGTTTTGACTTTCTGGGAGTCCAGTTGGATCGGATAATTTTGTTAAAATTGCAAACTTAGAACGAATGAACCTGGATACAGAAAAAGCAGAATGATTTCGTGGTGCTTAGATGACAGACTGTTCACCAGTTCAAACCTCACCACATCATCAATCTTGCCACCAGAAACAGGTCTGCTGCCCTTTCTGCGAGTCGGCACTGCCTTGCCAGGCACGACGATTAGAAAGAATTGCCTAGAATTCCCTAGCTTCAGTGAGCGAAATGACTCAAATTGTGTACTAAGGAAGACTTTCCCGTACCTGATCTCAGCGTGCGCACATGTAAGAACTTGTGGACCTCTACTAATGCAGACTCTAGATCAATCCTTTTGTAATTAACTCCCATTCGCATATAGTTTACAGCAGACAATTAAGCTGCTTTTGAATAACATAATCTGTCACTCCTGACAGCAGTTCAAGAAAAAGCAGATAAATTGTTCTGGTTGTTTCACAAATTGTACCGAGCACCCTGTTCAGACGAAAATCAGCAGAGACGACAGATTGGGCGCAACAAATCTAGCTAGCTGCAGTCACATATCTAAGAACTCATTGAGATTCTTACTTCTTTACCTCTTTCTCACAAACTCTGCACCATCGTCAACGTAAAACTGCAAAGTCTTTCTAATCACAAGCCAAACAATCTGACCGAGGAGATCTGAGATGCTTGAATTCATGACTAGTGTTGCGAGTGCCAGGTTAGGAAAGTCAACAACTTGAACACTGGATGTGGTCCTACCATGCAGATATCCAACATTTAGTTTGACTTAACGTAGACTACAATTGTCGATAGAAGAGCACCTTATTCTAAAATGCTAAACTGGCTCATTACAAGTAATCAAGTAATCGGCGTACATCTTTGTTTCGTTTGGGATACTCCTCTAGAACACTTTTCTGGGTGGCTGGGTTGCACTTATCATGAAATTATTCACAGCTTGATGCAGAAAATCTTCAATGAAACCTTGGACGTTAAGCGAAGAATTCAGAGAGATATTCCATGAGTAATTTACTGATAGTTTTTTGGTTGCATCTTTCCATGACGATTTGGTCTCTTGTCTTCATGGCATGTCCCTCACAAGTCTCAGGGAGGAGCCGAGGGAAGCCAAAGCTCGGAATTTCGCATTGGTGCGCAACAGCTCCTTTTGATCGTTCATCAACTTCCCAATGACATGTGTGTAATCGCGGATCTTGAGAGACAGCTGTAATAGACTTCGTGTCCCTGCTGCAGTTATTCCACACTAAAACGTAAAATCAACACAACCCAGCCAAAGCATCTGCCAACTTGAAAATGCTTTGAATAGAAAGTAGCAGAAGTGGTGCTTTTATGTGAAAGCGGGTAATTCTCCAGACGATGTTCTTCTGCGCGTCGCAGGCCACTGAGGAAGATTATTACATCTGAGTATGAAGCAAGGAGGACGAGGCCAGCGGTATTCTACTTGCTAATTTAAGATTCACCGTGAATGATGAGAATGAGAGGGATTGCCAGTAGGAACCAAGATCCTGAGAAGAATCCACTCGTGTGGATCGGCTTTGAATCCACATGGGCTATGGACAACTTACGACAAAGCGACCATCATAATCCTTTGTCTGAAGTGTAGATCAGTCACATCGAAAACTCAGACTCTAGAGAAATTCTTTTCCAGTCACTCTGTAATCAACACCATCCTTCTAAGACATGAATGGCCCCCGACAACATCCTCCTTGAATGGCCCCCGGCCGTGAGCCGGTGGAGGTTGCTTTAGTGGAAATTCTTACTTAAACTAATATGCTGGCATGTAGATGATTCTTGCTGCATGTTCAAGGAGTCATCGATGCAGACTCCTCGAATACCTTCAAGTAGAAAGATAAATATGGGAAGCATCGAGACAAGGGAAGAGACATTCAGAACAAAATTCAAAATATCACATCAACATTTTTACCGATGGTCCTTCAATTCTGGATTAGCAGATGCGAGCTTTATTATCATCACGTCTGAAGTCAATAGTAGATGACCTGCATTAAAAAACTGCTGATCCAGGCTCAGGGATGCCCGTGAGTGTATGTACACTATTCTCTTCGTCCAGATAGAAAGAATTTCTCTCCTCGAAGCGAAACAACAGCAGAATTTATGTCACTTTTGAGAGTCATGGTTTCTTAAGTTTCCACTCCGTCCAGCATATGATAGCTGAAGGCTCCATATGTTGATATTTTAAGCTCCACTTCGCCCCTGCATTTCGGAGCGAGTATGGATTTCACTAGTGAGTATTAACGTTTATCTTAGAATGGCAACTACAGTAATTCCGCACCTGCATAGCAATAAATTTGCATATCAGATCCGTTCAGAGATAAGGGTGATGGATAGTTGTGATGTCATCAGTACCTTATTGGCAGCAATGAAGTTATCATCTTCCGGCATAACATGTCTTCTGTACTTCTGATGGTGGCAAAATCAAGATTTGATGAAAATATTCATCGGTACATCTGATGGACCTCTGTGTCAACCTTTCACAGAAGGTTTCTAGATCTGATAACACGGCATCATTGTAGGAAGTGTGCTTAGCAGTAGTAATGCTTACAATTAGTTTCTCATCCATTCTTAGATTGAAGTAGCTCATCATTCATCATGATGAGACTTGTAAAAAGGCTCTTAAAAGTTTTTCCTCAAAGTGGAATTTTATAGTTTAGCCAAAATCTGAACTTCTTCAGAAACATGTATGTGCGATTGACATGATTGCATAGATTATACAAGACTTGTACAAGTGAAAACTCTGAAGGAAGATTTTGCAGAGGATCATATTGCATGAGTGTCTAAACATATGCTTGTTATTTGCATCATGACATTCTAACATCTCCAATTTCCCGACAAAATCCGAGTTCTAATACCTTCTTTCATGCACTCCTCGCACACCCATGCATGGCCACCTGATTCTACTCCCTCGTATTTCACCTGATACAACTTGAAGATTTTCGCATAGTTAATATCCCCAAGAATTTTCCGAATCCTCAACCATGCTTGTGTCAGCTCCTCGCTTTGCCCAGTTTGTACAACTGCCCTACGATCACTATTGCTAATCCTCGCGTGATTATTCAGATCCACGCATATCTTCAAACCTTCTTGATCTTCAACTATGTGAACCCTAGTCGCCGACTCACACATCAAGTGTAATCTAAAGGTTCTCCCGACATGCATAAGTGCACTCATCCTATAGAATATGTTAACATCATCCGAAATGTAAGGTCGCTTGGGGAACACGGCCATGTATTCTGCCCGCTTCCGGTTCTGCTCGAGGGCCTGTTGAATCAGCGCCGCCTTTCCGTCCGTTTGCCATGAGGTTCCTGAGACTTCTATCGCCCGGAGAGTCAAGTTCTTTTGAAGTAGCCCCATCAGGTCTCTGAACGCCTCGTCATCGAGTTCAGAGTCAGACAAATCCAATTGAGTGAGACTTGTGTTATTTCGCAAGCACACAAGCAGGTACTTCCATACTCCCTTCAAAGTATCTTTCCTTTGAATAAATAATTTCAGTCTCTTCAGGACTGTAGTGTCTCTAAGATTTTCATCCATTGGGACGATACTTGGCATTCTATTTTCGTTGCTGCCTGGAGGGCAAGAACAATTGAAATATAGAATCAAAGATTCTAGAGACCTGATTTCTCCGCGCAATACCTCACCCACAAAGTTGAGTGCTGAGATCAATGCATCGTAATCGTAAAATGTGATATTCAGCTCCACTTTGGGGTCCTTATCATCTGAGCTAGCAGCACACACAAGCTCTTCTACTCCCTTCAAGTCATCTTTCTGACGCATGAAATGGGTTACGCGAATAGATTTTGCTGTAGCATTCTCGCGTATGGCTTGGCCCAGTCGGCTCCATTCTTCGGGATGCATGTCGATGGCTGCCAACACCACTTCCTCCAAGTATGGGTTGGAGCTCAGAAGTTCTCGTAAAGAGTCTCCGAGTCCAAACACAGAAATTAGATGAAGACATTGAATAGCTTGATTGCCGCCATCTCCATCCAATGCCTTCTTGCTGAAGGCCTTCAGCAAGAAGGCCGACGCTGCGCCCTTCACCTCCCTTAGAACCAATTTTCTCAAGGATGAGCTCTGGATTAAAGCCTGCGACAGGATTCTAGCGGCCTCCTCATCCATGTCGTACATGCGCTCCCATGAACCCCCTATTTCCAAAGTTTCTAATCGAGTAGCACTCTTGATCATGTCAGCCATATGCTTCATCGCACTCGAGTCCTTCCATGCATTACATAGTTCTAAAGTCTTGAGTTTAGACTGGTAATTTCCTTCCAGTCCTGATGCGAGATTCAAGAAACATCTATCACTCAATCTGCAATCGCCAATTCTCATATCTGTTACACTAGAGGTTCTCAGAATTCCCCCCAGCTGTAAACACAAGCTCTCCAATTCCGCAAGTGAGGTCCATGTCAATCTTTCAACTCTTATCACTCGTAGATGGGTGCTACAGCTAAAACCCCTCAGAAGTACCTCCCACTCGTTAGCCGTTAGCCTCGAAATATCTCCGCTAAAAATATCCTGAACGTCCAGATATTGAAGGGTGTTGCAGCTGCCGATTGCCTCCAGCACTCGAAGGCGAACTTGGCTTTGCCACCCTGTGATAGTCGAAAGCAATGCACGCTGCGGAAAAAAATCCTGAAATTGTGGATAGGTTAATGTGGGAAGCCACCGTAAAGGCTCGGTTTTGTTATCCAGCTTCCGTATAAGGTCCTGAACAGCGGAAGGAAGCTTCAGTTCCTCGTCTGCGGAGTCCATCCCCCCTGTCGCAAGTTCAGCAGGATCCCTGACGATGGACGCACCTGCACTTTCCATTCTCTCCTCCACTCTCTCTCTCACAGAGGAAGAACCGTTTGCTGCTTTACATGCGTGAGCGAAACGTGACCGGGACTACAGGAGGCCCCCTCCTCGATCCGCAGGACCAGCTCACCCAAAGAAAACTTAAGACTTCTTGCACTCTGCATGAGGAACAAGAGAAAGATTACTCAATGCTCTTCACAGAATGAGATCATGGCAATCACCACGAACGTTGGAAGATTGTAAAAAGTGGAAGTAGGAGCTGCTCAAAGGCACTACAAGCGTTGTGAATCAAAATGAATGCAGAGAACCAGGATTCTGGTTCCAAAGTAAATCATAAAGCTTGTGCAAAGGGGACTTCATATAAACGCAAACCTTTTGCGAATTCGAACTGAGAGAGTAGAGAGGTGTTCGATGTGCACTAGTGACCAAACTGAGTGTACAAGATTACAGCTCTGCCGGTGAATCTGCAATACAAAAGAGTTCGTAGCAAAGATAGTGAGATGTGTACTCCGAATTTCATGGAAAGCATGGAAGCGCAGATAACTCAGATGTGAAGTACTCTGCGTTGTGGAAAGATAACAATGAATTATGACTTCAGATGAAGATCTCGTTCAAAGTCTAAATAATAAGACAAACTTACATGGAAACTCAAATATTTGATATATATTAGCTCCGATGGGGCTCGAGCTCACCCTCACATGGAAGTGGTGTGCTGGCTGCCATGAAGAGCAACGCTGGAGGTCCTTTCCTTCGCGTCACTTCTCTAAAACTCTCGACTGTCAATGAGCAGAACAAGACCACCACAGCCCAGGGCAAATGTTCGAGGCTTCACCCTCACATGGAAGTGGTGTGCTGGCTGCCATGAAGAGCAACGCTGGAGGTCCTTTCCTTCGCGTCACTTCTCTAAAACTCTCGACTGTCAATGAGCAGAACAAGACCACGACAGCCCAGGGCAAATGTTCGAGGCTTCACCCTCTCACATACACCCGATGTGCTTCCTTGCCCCTTCCTTCCTGGTTGGGCGAGTCGTCGGGCGAGGATCAAGACACGTAATCAATCAGGATTTCCTTTTGAGTACTTTTTTAATTTCAACGCGCTCTAGAACGTCACCAGGCACGAGATTTTTCACCTCAATGACTGGAGCACTTACTGGTACACCAGTTTCAACGAAAATCCGGAAAAGCGGTCGATATTGTTCCTCGTGGCCATCTCAATGCGAGGGGAGCCCACTTCAACAGTCAGCTTATTAAAAAGCAAATCGTCCTTCCTTTTTTTTTGTATACGGCATGTGTGCTCAGATCCCCTGAGCTTCTGTCGGCTGCTGAAGGGACAAGAGTAATAACTGGAAAATTCTAGACGCCAAGTCTGTAAGACAGAGAATATAACGTCTAACTGAGATCAAGCAGATTCCAAAAAAGCGCGTCACTTTTGGATCTTACATTCCTATTTCCTAACGATTGATGCAATTCAGAGGTAATAAAGAATATCTTCACTGGCTGAAATTTGATCTTTAACTATAGGCTTAAAAGTAATTATGAAATTTCCCTGAGGCCCCCTTTCATCTTTGAGGAGGTTAATCAGATATTTCGAAGCCTTTTGGGTATTATCAACTGTTGCAGCTGTCTCATATCGGGAGGGAAGATTACACGGAGATCTCTTTCCACTAAAGACTTCGTCAAGCTTCCTTCCATGACGAAGTCTTGGCATCTTGAAAGCTCAACCCGATACTCCACGATCACAATGCATGTTATTTATCATGTTCTGGCAACAAGTTGACTACAGTTATTTTGCGCCAGCTGCTCATATAATAGGACAAGTTCTCCATCGTGAAATTGAAAACTCTGTTGGGATCTAGCTCCAAACGACCCATTTGGTTTCAAGTAGGTGAAAGGTATGTTACAATCCATTTCCCGTACATGACGAGGTACCTATTCTATTATGCAGAAGGCAGGGGTACAGTCATGTAAGTCAACCACACGTTAAGTACTCACAGCATCTCCCTTGTAAGCTACTTCATTGGAACTCAGAGTATACTTTCGTAGCAATAAAGATGTTGGAGATTCATCTAGCAGTCCACGGATAAACCCAAAGGCGTAAGATGTCTGCCAGAGGAGAGATTATTAATTTCTTCAGGACCGTCTTCCATCCCAGTTGAATATTTTCTGTTGCAAAGCTGCTGAGATGAAGGCTTTTTTCGAGAGACTTGTAGACCAGATGTGGGAAGCGAAATCTAAAGTAATCGTTTCGATGGATTCCTCGCGGTAAAGTGAACAGATTGAAAGATTTGAATGATCAAGTGGATCGAAATGTTTATATTCAATTGAAGGGGTCGAACATCGAGCTTTCAAGCGTGTGGCCCCGTCAATGAGACTGATTCATTACCGACCGAGGACGATTCTTCATGCGCGCCAACCAAATCAAATAATCTTTTCTGGTGCTTATTCCGAGCATGCATGTTGGACTCGATGATCGCTCATAACACATTATCAACTCGGAAAGTGCACATTGGATAGAGAGACTCTAAATTTCAGATGTGAAAGCACTAGAGAATCTAAGCAGCACGGAAGAGAAGAGGGATGATAGGTCAACTTACAGGACTTTCAGAGTCAGAAATCCTGCTCTCCTCCTCCTCACCTGGACCTAACTGATGGAGAAAATATCTCATCCTGATGCTGCTCAACAAGAACGTTCATAGGAAGACAAGATCAGAAGGATGAAGGATGTTGGGTGGAATTGGACTTCCAAAGCTCACACCTGGCAACGCTCGGTTACCAGGTGATTGCATCTATGTCTGCTCATACCACTGCTGACGTGCGGTGACACAATTTTCTAGTGTTTGTATGAAAATTTGATTAGATGGTCTTCCTAGGTAGCTTCTTTGTTCTGGATGTTCCAGTGTGTTTTCTGTTATCAGCTCCGTCCATACTCAAAATCATTGATCCTGGCACTCGGCTGGGTCGCTTCAGCTCTTGCGATGGAGACGACAGAGCTTTTGTTCTCTTGTGCAAACCGTCCTGAACTTTACATCCTCATCTCAAGGCCAAAAGGTTCAATGGACAATACATTATCTCGCCATGAAAATTAAGAGTTCTTAAGTGTGTCAAGATTGTGCGTCAAGGAATCACCTCATGCGAACCCCGACCTTCATGCACATGAGATATATTTCGATGCTAGTGTTTTCTTCTGCGATCTCTATTTTTTTTTATTGTTACATTATGCCGCCACATCAAGTCTTCTTCTTCTGTGCACACCCAACATAAGTACAAGCACCTACTCTGTGCTACTCCTGTTACTTCGAGAGCAGTGGAACTAGTTGACAATATGTCTACCAATACCTCCAGAATGTGCTAAAAGCCCTCTTCAGAATAGGTGGAGAAGGAATATCCTCAGCACCTTTCTGCTTTCCAAGCAGGCGAGGGTTAATTCCTGTGCAGTGGAAATTGCGGAATCTGGTGCGGAAGTCGAATTTTAGTCGCAATCCCCTCTTGCAATCAATGACAGCTGTCCAGTATGACTGAAGTCTGACGCTCAATGGTATTCCTCTGATAGACGTCTAAGTATCAATGTGAATAAATGTACTTTACAATTCACCAGCTGGTATAGTGAGAGATCAAGTTACATCACAGCACTTGCACCACTTGTAGGACCGCAAAGATTACTGGCAAATCAAGCCGAGACCTTACGACAAAAGCAAATCGGAGAGTAGCAACTTCCAGGGAATTTCTTATCACCTGTAGTTCTTGTTGACTTCCTTCACTCCAGCCCGCCTTCCACTCTCCATCACTCAGCTTATAGCCCAATTCTACCCTCTTGCTTTATTATACTGAAGGTGCGCTGGCTCGTCATTGGACGCGCTGGTTTCGAGTGCTTGACTTTGGTGTACCTACCGTCCACAAGGCTCCTCCCTCTTGCTTTATTATACTGAAGATGCAATGAGTGCTTGACTTTGGTGTACCAACGGTCCCAGGGCTCCTCCCTCTTGCTTTATTATACTGAAGATGCGATGAGTGCTTGACTTTGGTGTACCTACCGTCCACAAGGGCTCCTCCTAGTGGCAGACTTCTAGAGTCTCAGAATCGGTCATAGTCAAAGCCAGTTACTTTAATAATTGGTCTCGTCCAGAAGCGGATGCCGAGGAGGAAGAGGATAACGACTGTCAGAGTTTGACTTCTTGTCAATCTTCCGACTGGAAATGTACGAAATTCTAAATTACTCTATTTGCCACGTCTGTCTGTTCTTGTGCTGATTATGGAATGAAACTCTGGCAGTACTGCACTCCTTCTGGAAGAATCTCGACCATTGCAAGATTGAGATGATTAAACTAAGAAGGAGGACTAAGTTGTTTAGCAAACTTGATGGGAAGGTCCCATCAAGCCTCATCAGCATCAAAGCAAACAAGTGACACGGGCTAGTCTTCATAGCACCATATTTTAAAATATTTTTGCTGATGTAACTAAACAAATCCAAGTTTTATAATTCAACGAAATGCAAAAAAGAAGTGAAGTCTGCATACCAATGAGAATAATGTAATGTGATGAGTTTTCCACTAGCTGCTAAAGATACGAAAACTTTCAGTATAGATTAGCAAGATTTTGTACAACATGTTCTTAAATAAGATTACCTCTCATAAACATTTATCAAAATTTACGTACATGATTTGAAGTACATGGGGAAAAACAGTTGATATCCTTACAATGTATACCTCTTGGATTTTTTTTGTTACACTAACTCCCCATCTAGATTAGAGATGAACCTCGGACCCGGACTAAACGCATGGCCGCAGATAAGAAAATAGTTCTCTATCAGGACCGATCCGAGTGCAAATAAAATATAATTTATTTGTCCAATGATGTTCAAATCAATAGGGAAAAGATGGGCTATCTTCTCATATATATAAAGAAAAATAGCTGAACACCTATTCATAAGCTCGCTTTCACTCAAGATGCTTTGTATATAATGATACATAAAGATATTATACTATTGCATATAATGTCTTTATAGCTCAAAACTTTCAAATTTTATGTTTTATTGATCAATTTTAAATGTATAATAATATATATACACAACGTAAGAAGCCCAAAACATTATACTAAGTATAGACTTTTCTAGTATTGGCAAATAAAGATCTAAGAGAGAAAGTAGATAAATAACTCTGATCTGACAACACTGCCGCAAGCCGAACCAAATCAGACAAAGATATCCCATTTATTAAGGGATCTTAAAATTTTACTGCCCCAAGTTTTGGCTAATATCTTCAAAAATCCTCAAAAGTTTCCTCAGCAAATTTTTCACTTGGCAGATACTTTCTTCACACATTGGATCGTTGCTTATATCTGGCTGTGACCACTCATTTGCAATGGATTGGACACAACTGGCTGTGGCCAATCTATTGCAAGTGAGTTGCTGAGTTATTCCATTTGAGATTTTTTTGGGGTATAGGTTGGACATTTATGCAGGTTTGACTTACTTTGTCGCAAAAATATGGAAACAGTCCTTGATGAGTCATGCACCTTCAGGGTTCAGTCAACAATACTGTATTTAGTCATCCTTGCTGACTAAGCTCAGTTTGTAGTTACAGTTTGTAGAATTGTGAGTTTCCACAACTCATGTTGTGGAATTTAATATCTGCAATATTTTCATCAATGTATTAAAAACGATCCAAAGTATCAATGATTTCTGAACTTCAGTCGACCATGTGGTTTTGGTTTTGAGGCCGAAGAGATCAATACATACAGCTTTACTGTTTCATGGCGAAAATTGTTCCAAGCGTCTCTTTTTGACCTAAAGCTCCGAATTTAACCATTATATCCTATGCCATATTGTCACATCTTCATATGTGACTCTTGTCTAATGTTATGGGAAGATTAAAAGAGGCCTAGAGACTTCTATCATTTGATGGCAGTGGGAAATCAATAGCACAAGACGTTTTGTGGTTACTTTTATCTTACTTTTAGTTGTATGAGCTATTCCAGCTAATTTCGCTCCCTTTCTTCATTTTTTTATTACAGATTGCACAAGAGTTTTCTGTCATAATCAACAGAAAGATGAAATTTAT